TACACCCCCTAGTGTTCCTACATGTCCCATCACGTGATACACCTATTACTGTTTTAACCATAGTCATATATCGTTATAAAATATACGGTGACGTGAACGTGAATGGGACACATGATATAGCAAGTACATACATATACTAATTTGGAGGCATAGATGTACAATAATAGCACATGGCAGATTTATTTTAGTGAGATGGCACTCTGAAGCGGAAACCAGAACCGCGCGTTTGTAAGGAGGTAAATGAACCAAACTACCGGCTTTACCACATACACACATGAACACATAAAAGACAAAAATGACAACATATCTTTGAAAGATTTTAACTTTTGATAGAAAGTGAAACCTAGAACGTCCAAATGGTAGCAAGTCTCATTTATTTTAATCTCAATTGCTCTGTATCAAAACATAAACTGTACTAATCAACAAGATATTTGTATCGATGATATAAAGTAGCCAAATGCTTCTTCGAAAGCAGAAACTGAACAAGTCAAATAAGGGAGTTGATCATTATTATTTGATGAATTATTGGGGAATCAATTTAACAATTCGGTTGCCACTTGCGGACACGCTTACTTTGTAACGTTTGTGTATACGTTTATATGTTTTACTTGTGTTAATTACTGAAGATGCCGTCTTTGTCGATTTTGAGGTCCGATTTCTTTCTTTTGTTTCTTCGCAATGCCACTTTTACTCCTTTTGTGTACGTTTTACCTCTTATTAACTATCAATCATGCGCTGATAAGCTTGCTAGGTATGCAAATATTACTTTTCAGTTTTGCAATGTTTTTCTTATATATTTGCTCACTAAAAACGCATTTTATTCAGTAACGGAACTGTTTTAAAGCTCATTTTATCAGAACAACATCAGTGAAAGGGTAGTACGACTGATACTGTATTGTAATGTATTATGTGTTGTACAAATCGTCTGAGGAACACGTGTGTACAGGGTCGCCTGAATGTTAACAAATACAGATAGACATATCACATGTGTACTGTAGATATCATGCACGGCTCAGCATAAGGGAGCTGGCATGTATATCGGACATTGGTCAGCACACTTAAACATAGGTTAGCCTCTGTTTATTGTCAAGGTCCTAAACATTTGATCATGTAAGTATTTAGGTTCTTTGAGTATACCCTTATTTTGTATTTTCAAGTTTCATTGAAATTCAATTTAAATAGATTAAAGCCGTCACATAGAATACGAATATATGATAAATTACATGTAAAATGAGTCCGACTGTGTTTTACATACACTTCAGCATCCAATTCCAAGTGAAAGTTTGTTATCTTACGGAACATGGTTGTGGTAATGGACATGTTTACTTTCAAAACAATGTTTTTACCAAATGATAGACATATCCACAACAATTAGTCTTTCGATATTCGATTGAACAGCATATGCATAGCAAAGGATGATTACTGGTTCAGGTGAATGCATATGCTACTAATTATAAGTCAGTATACCATTAAGGACGTTTGTGCTGGTGAATATTATACAATTATGGACTTCAGGTGAGGTCTATCCCTGATTTACGAACCTGGTATGAACAATATTCACAGACTCGTCACATGACGTCGCTCCTCCAATCAGGGCTGGGAATTAGCACCAGTCATATGACAAGATGTGATATGAACTTGAAAGATGATATTAAGCGAGGCGAAGCCGAGGTAATCATCACTTTTTCAAGTTCAAATCACATCATATTTACCAGGACAAAAGCCGATAAATGTTTTATTATATTTCAACGATTAATTTAGCTAAAAATCAAGGTTGTCCGAGTAAAATTTCGCCAAGGTTGAATTCAACAGTTCGGCATCGTAGCTTTTGAAGACATCGTCACGGTTCTTTTCCTTAAGATAAGCATGGAGGACAGTCTGGTGGTCTTTTTGTGTTAACAGCATCTTAATCTTCAGAGTTGTTTTTGGACATTTTCAGATGTAACGAAGGCGAACCGTTCGCCAGCAGCCATTTTCTGTTGTCGTCTGACAGATAGCGTTCCGGTCTTACTGTGCATGCGCTGGGACAGGTTGCAGGATATTTTCATATAGGCTTTATATAGAAATTGATATTCACCGGATCACAAATGTGATTGTGAGAAATTCAAGCAAATATTAAAGCTATATATATATATATATATATAATTATTTTATGTAATTCTACCACGAATCATTGTGTATGATCTAATAATAAAGATTTTACGATATTAACATGGATTTTTTTGGTGTTCCTTGAGGCTTCGTTGTTACTAACATGGGACACTATTTGAGAACGTGACATGACATGGAATTTACCTTGGTTTAAATGGCGGTTATCGTCGATGAAGCAGGGGATGTTTACCCTTCTGGAACGCCTTGTCTAATTCTTCGTGTGCTTACTTAAGGGCCGCTGTTTCAATATGTCTGTAGCCCATAGTTTGCCTCGTTTCATCGATAATGACTTTGCGTTACGGATTTGTTTACATTTCAGTAGTTTATGGTTTTCTATAAAAGTTAGTTTTATTAATGATTTGTATAATGTGATTATTTTCAAATAAGTAATTCATCGCAGATTTAATAAAAGCATACTTAAAAAAATACTACATTCTCTTATAATAACGCCGTTTGCCTAAATTAAGGTTTTTCTAATTGAGCATATACCTGTAATAAGTAGACGTTAGTGTCTGTAGCACGAATTGAGCATTTGCACTGCAGCATATGTTTTACAACTACACTATCAATGAAAGAATTCTGTACAAACCAAAAGAAAAAACGGGATCGATTCGAGTTGAGTTACCTCACACTTCCGTATTTCCTTTTTATGTTTTCTGAAAAAAAAAAAAGAAGGAAAATATGGAAGTTATTATGTTTTCTGGGGTGCGTAACCAAATATTTATCTGTCAATTTGTTGAAATTTTAGTAAACTTATAAGAAATTTACAACGTGTTGAATAGTAATAAAAATCATAAATGCATGGGATATGTTTGTTTTTTTTACCGTAGATTACATTCCAGACAGTCATATCAGCCTATATCTGCGAACAAACACTTCTCATATGTATATTATGATGGTCAGGCCTGATAGAGTAACTAGGTGTCATGTGCCATTGGACATTACACGAAATTTATCTTTCCCAATATAACGGTCGATCTTACTTCTAAATAAGGCGTTTGTTTTACACCTAGTGTCCCATGGTTACATTAACCCTTAAGTACGCCTCCTTTGATTCAACACACATCTATGTAATGGCCAGACCCTCACTCGCACGCTCGATATAAGCTATCACAGCCCGTCACTATACCTCTATCGGACACATTTTAGCGCTTGGTTGGACCGTTTATCGTACCCTTTTACAGGTACGTTTTGTATCATAATGCTACTGAATAGATCTGATTTGGAACCATCTGTATACAATGTACGTCACAATCTTGAGCACTGCTTATTATCACATGGCTATTTATTTCCCCAAGCCCCTGTTTCAGACAAAAACTCACTACAAAGTAAACCAGCCCTGGACCTATTTCTGTTCTCATTAAAATCAATGCGACAAATGATGTCCTCTAAAATTTCTTCACGGTAATTGGCCTAACTAATGTAATTTTAAATCGTCGCTTCACTGGTAAATATGCAGCTCTCGGTTATGACACTATCGCGAAATATCAGCCCTTAATATAAACAGTCTTTGACAAAAATCAACCATTAACCAATAATATCCCTTTTGGTGATAATGGAGTTACCGATTGGTGTTAGATGTGGGTGAGGAATAGGAATTTGTAAACACAAACATGAATTAAAACCTTGCTTTGCGAGCTTTCGAAAATATCTGTTTCCTTTGACGAGCAAAGAGTGTAACTGCAAAAAAATGAATTTGGTTTTTAAACAGGCTATGTTTTAATGTTCTGTTGCCTCATCTGTACCGTATCCAGCCAGTTGTATAATATAGAGATAGTCGGTCGGTCATGAGATGAAGGACGGTTTGACCTTGGCATGCTGGTAGACGTGGACACTTTGCCTGACCTTTATGTCGTCTAAAAATAGCATATACAGTTTATCGTGGGTTTCGTCCTTTCATAAATAAATTTAGAAAAAGTATAGCATATTGAGATATACATTAATATATCTAAAACGCCCAATAACCATTAGTTGGTCATTGTTAATCTATAACGTCATCGTTCAATTTATGGATATAATTTACATTATGAATGTAATGCATGTATGCTAAAAGTCGTTCACTATTTAATGTGTGTCACTTATATATTGAAATGACATGCCTTGATATATGTTACGTGAGCTATTCCTGTTTTTTACTGCTCTATTTAGATAAAATAACATGTCTTGTCCCGCATACGTGTGTTTAGCTAAGTTTTATCCCTTGTTGAAATATTGCATCACACGATAATGTTATCAAAACAATGTTTATAATGACGGTTAGATATAGCCTTGTCTGAACAAGAGGGTCCAGTTAATCCAGTACTGTCAAAGTATTGCCATTTATTTTCGGACAGAGGGAAGATCGGTCAATTGTTGATATGAAACTATTCCAATAATCAAGCTTTGTCACAATCCTGCAACTTCAGCTTAGAACGAAGGTACTTGGAATGATGAAGATGGCTTGGCATTTTATTTGGAATGAAGATGAATTGATTATTTACTTGGAATGAAGAAGGCCGTTTTATCTATTTGGACTGAACATGGCTGAAATATCTACTTGGACTGAAGGTGACTGGATTATCTACTGTGAATAATGATGACTGGATTATCAACTGCGGACGAGGTTTATGTACATGTTGTTGCTTTCACTAATCTGTTCGTTTATGTTTAAAGAACATCATGATTCTTAAAAAACAAATTGGAGACACATATCGCACTCCTTTGTAGCATTACTGGTGAAGATTTCTATACATTGGAAATTATTGATGTCATCTAGGGAAAAGGTAAAGAGAGATACAAACAGTAAAAACACGCTGACAAAAAATGACAAATAATCACAATATCAAATAAAAAGCAACATTACAAGGCCACCAATTCAATGTTTATTTATTTAGCTTTTTTTTCAGAACATTACCAAACAGGACAATGGTAAATACTAGTATCATGACCTATCAAACTAACGTTTACAAATATACAACCTGGCATACATCTAGGTGTGTGGTACAAGCGATGAATACATGGATGCATCAATGCTCCACAACCTGCAACTAAGCACAAACATAGCTGTATCTACAACCAAACGTTATCACATCGTATGTAGGTAATAAAGCGGGAATTAAATAATAACTCTCATAAATCTTATTTAAACTGGTTGCTAACCGCAGCAACTGACTATCTGAAATTGGAATTGGGGAATATTTTTTATCTAAATGTATGAGCTATTGTCATACAGCATGGTGATGTAGTGACCCCTCATTACTTAAAGGCATCTCGGCCAAATACGGATATTTTTATACTCATTGAGTATATTGCACGGTATCGCAGATATATTATTTATTCATTAAATTATATAAATAGGTTTTCTAAATGGTATTACTTCATATGTAAATATCCATAGTTGCTTCACGGGTCTCTGCCCACCACTATAAGAAACATACATACTCAAACATTATTCGTCCATTAAAATCATACTCTTACACCTACTCATGGAGCGGGTCTGACAGTATTCAATTGTTATAAAACATGTTTATATAACCATGTAAAAGAAATTAAATTGGTCTAACCACTTTCACTGTGTACAATACCATTACACGTTAGTTGTAAAATTGAAATATCCTAGATGGAATCAAAATGTCCATGTCATATAAATTAACGCCATGCCATCAATAAATGTATTTTAGTGGCATCGATGTTGAAAGAAAAACGTGGCATTAGTAATCCATCTCATAGGTCCCGCACCAACACACCGGTGTGCTGGTACCACATTTGCATATTTTGCAACATACTAATCAATGGTGATTTTAATAGTAAACTGACTTACATCTGAAATTGCCATGACAACACTGAGACAACATTAAGATAAATACGATATTGTATTATAACTATCTCGCAAAAATAGTAACTCAGTTTGTGTATTAGAATATTTCTCTAAACCATTCCGTATAAAAACTATCTTGATATTTCGATCTGATGGTTTTATTGACAATCTTTGTACATTACGTTGATATGAACATTTAGGATATGCTATTGAGGCAATTACTGACGCTTTCATTGCGAATGTTTGGTGTATAAATACACCCCGACCCCCATTGAAGACACGGCAGACACAAGACCCACGAACGTCAAGAATCCACCGACACTTGGCGAGTTCCTCTCCCAAAAGGTTGTCTCGAACGGCCTAGGTTGTACCGTCTGTAAATATAGGGAACACGAAGCTTTAATAATGATAAAATAGCGATTGTTTGTTAAAATATCTATCTCAACAACTTACTAGCTCCAGTTATATGCACGGGACGACCAACTCTCAATCGTTGAGTTAAATTTATGCAAATATATTGATACATTTTTCAACAGAAATGATATGAATTTTATCTGACAATAACCAATGCGTTTAAAGTATATGTACATTCAATGGCAACACAATATACATTGCAATGAGAAAATACTGTTAAATTCATTATACGATGAATTTATTTTATGATACACAAAAAGAATAATCGATATTGTGAAATTTAACAATACCTTATGTTCTGGTTCTGTGATCCAAATCTGATTCTCACTAATTTTGCCAAGCCGATGCAGGATCTAGGATAAAGGGGAGATAACTCGTTTATTAATTCCATTGATATCTAATGTGATTTTATCGATAATCACAAACAAAAGGGTTGTCATGAAATACATCCGATAGCATGATAATCAAACAGAAAATGTATACACTCTATATTATAAAAAAAACCATTCAGTAGTCATTAAATATTTTTTAAAAGTAGTTAAATTGATAAAGTATATCAAAGGTCTCAGAAATTGAAAATAGTGTAAACATTTTAGAACAATGCATACGCAAATAGATCGATTAAATAATAACGTTCAAACCTCTGATTAATAATGGAGCCCCATATAGTATCACTAGTTATATTTGATACATAGAAAAAATGTTATTTAACTTTTGAACGAAACGAAATATAAGTAAAATTCATGCTTCTATGAAGTATCAGCAGTAAATACAGTATACATGTGCAAATGCCAGATGCTATTTACCTCCCTTGCAGATCGTTCTCCGGCCTGTATCGCACCGTCCATGTACCCTGACCAAGCTGTGGCGGTCTCGGTCCCCGCAAAGTGAATCCTGTCGAACGGGCGGCGCATCTCCCTAAATAATGATGTTATTATGTTCTCTTTTAACACGGCATCATGAATATAACAATAGGTGTGGGAATTTTTAGAAATGCCATCCAGTTGAGGTTTTAAAGTTCATAAATTCGTCTTATATGTTCTAGAAAGCAACCAAATCACCATTCGCTTTATCTTATCTTGGCTAGTTTATGACAAGAATTACATTAATTGGCGGGGCGGTTAACGAGATAATTTTTTTACTGATCGGTCTAATTCAGGTTTCTATTTCAAAATACGTTACCACAGTCATTATAATGCATATTCCAACCTTACTTGGCTCTTTACATACGTAAATAAAGAATTTTTCCCCCCATGGGAAACCCCTGGGAAACCCATCAATCAGACGGCAGTATTCACGCACGTGATTTAAGACACGAAGCCATGCTTCCCACTTCATAATTCCTTCAGCCGGCCGTGTTTACGGACGTGTTTTGGTGTCTACGGGTTCCAACTACAACAGGCGTTGTTTGTACCCATACATTTACGTATCCTTTATAACTAGTTAACTTTATTTTGTTTTAATTAAGCTTTTTGCTTTATTTTGCGCCGTTTTGCGACCAGGCTCCGGCCACGTGTTCGCGTTTTTGACGGTTTGTTTACGTTGAGATGGAGACTCCTCCTTCTCAAAGGCGCTGTCCTGGGGGTCATTTTTTTGAGGCTTCCGACCCCCACCCTTACTGTCCTGGCTGTCGGTCTTGCTCTCTGGAGCAGCCGTGTGAAATTTGCCGTGCCTGGCAGCCGACTCCTACCGGTGGTTCTCCCCGCCCGCGAGGGCGTGCAGGTAAGTCGGGTAGGAGGGGCGGTAGGGGTGGGGCGAGGGCTAAAGCTAGGCCTAAGCCCTCGGAGAGCACCAGCGGAATTCCGACCTCTGTCGAGTCTTCCCTGGGGTTCGTGTCGGCGGTTTCGACCCGTACCGGGGCCGCTGGGAAACAATTTGTTTCTTTGGACCCGCACCTTTCTCTCACCCCGCCTTCCGTTTTGTCGGTCGACGTGGGTGAGGGTTTGGGCTCTGTCCCGGTCACCACGGTGACTAGGGGACAGGGGGGCGGCCTTCTCTCCCAATTTGTGGTGGGAGGGCAGGTGGCCCAACATTCCCTTGGGAATATTAAACAGGCCAGCCATGTTGTGTCAGCGGATGCTTCTGTTGGTGGCCTCCTGCCGGTCCGCTCCACTCCTGAGGGTGTTGGTGTTGTCGGAGACCGGCCCCCGGCAGTTTTGTCTGCTCCCGGGGTTCCTTGCATCCCTGATGTAGCCCCTGGCGTGGTGATGGCGTCTAGCACGCCGTCCACCACTGTGCAGCATTTGCTGCCCGGTCCGGTGGTTAGTGATGCTTCGGCCTCGCTAGCCTCGGCTGGATTTTACGGTGGTGTGAGCACTGGTGTAAAAACCTATGCTTCCAGCTCTATCCCTTGTGCCTCCTCCCCAGGTTTTCCTATGGTAGGTGCCAGCGCAGCTGCGTTTGGTTTTGCCGGTGCACGCTGCTCCCCTGGTGGGGCTTGTTTTACTGGCCCTACAGGTTTTGGCCCTGCTGTAGGTCAGTCTGGGTGGAGTTGGTCAGGTCAGCCAGGTGTGGCTTATGGCGGCGGGTGTGTAGGTGGCCCTAGGTTCCCTACCCCGCCCCCCCAAACCGGTCCTGCCTCCGGTTTCGGGCATCAGGTTGGTGGCTCTGTTCCAGGGTCCTCCCTGGTTTATCCCACCTATTTGCAGGGTGGGAATGGAGCTCATTGGGGTCAACAGGCTCCTTTTTATGCTCCGCCCCAACCACCGACCGCCTATGGGCAGTCTTGGGGTTTCTCCCAGCAGGGGGCTTTTCCAGCCGCTCCCCCTCCACCCCAGGGTGGTATGGGTTTCCAGCCTGGATATGCCCCCCCCGCCTTCTTGCCTGCGGCGATGGGGCCCCCCCTCCATCCGCCACCGAGCCGTTCGCGCAAGCGTTCGCGCTCCCGGCCAGCTTCTGCTGCCGGTTCAGTCAGGCAGAGACCGCGTGATGCTAGGGCTGCTGGTCGTGCTGCGTTGGCTCGAGCTCCTATTTTGGAATTTGAGTCTACCAGTAACTTCCGCTGTCCGGTGTCAACTCCTACCTTACAGCAGGTTCCAGGGTCTTGTGGTCCTGCTCCTGCTGTTCCTCAGGGACTATCGATTGCCCCGATAGTTCCCTCGGGTAGGTCACGTTCTCTTTCCCCTCCTCGCACCCCTCCCCGGAGGGCGACGTTGATGGAGGTGGATTCGGCGGGTGCCTCTCCTAGTGATGAGAGGGACGTTCTTCGGGGCTCTCCTGGTTGCTCCAATTTTACGGAGACTCGGGATGAGGATAGAGTCGGCGAGTTTACTGACTCTGATTTAGAGTCGTTGGATTCGTCTGGGTTGGACTCAGAAGGCCCTTCTGATGTGTCCCAATCCCGGCCCCGAGATGCTGATCCGGTGCCTCCAGAGGTTTCGGCTTCATTTCGCACTTTACGTGCAGAAGTTATGAAGCTTCTGGGGGACGGGGTTTGCCCACGCCCTTCCACGGATTCGGCCGTCCCGGAGCGCACTTCGCTCCTTCAGAGCATGTTGCCTCCCCTAGCATCTGCCTCCTCGGCCTCTGCTAGGTCTCTTGCGGAGGGACGAGGCGTGGCTTCGTCCCTCGCTCAGGTCAACGCTTTATTAAAGCAGAAGGTGAGCAAGGCTCGCAAGCCTTTTTCCCTCTCGGCTTTACAGGTCGTGGTTGCGGACATCGCAGATTTAGCTGCAGATACGTACCGCATCCACGACCCAGTCTTGGCCCCTAATTCTGTTTCCCTTGAGAGGGATCTGGATAAGTGGCCGGGACGCTGTGTTGACCAGGTTGTGATGGGGCCTAGGGAGCACTCTAAGTTGGAGCGTCTCCTTAGGCTGGCTCTCCATGTTCTGTCCTACGCAGACTGGTTTACTTCTGCGTTGCTGGCTGCGAGCTGCAAGTCGGTGGAGCAGCTCCCCAGCAAGGTTGGACTGATGGAGCGCCTCAGCCAGGCAATTTGCAAGGCACATCTTGATGCGATGGCCTTACTGTCGGCTGCCATGTCACACCTTGTTGTTGCCCGCCGGTTGTCGGTCCTTTCTGGACTGCCAGTCGGCGATTCCTATCGGGCTACCCTTTTGGAGGCTCCCTTGACTGGCGAGGATTTGTTTGGCGGGGTCCTTCCCTCAGTGCAATCTGAGATGAGGTTGGACCCGTTTGCATCTGAGGATGCACGCCACAATTCCGCAGGCAAGGGCGCTAGCAGGAAGAGGCAGGCTTCTGGCTCCTCCAGGCGTAGGAGGAAGAGGGCAAAGACGACTGCTTTTCAGCAGCAGTCTGCCCCTCCGACTTCCGCTCCGGCAGAACGTCGGAAATCTTCCTTCCGCGGTAGGGGTTCCCATAGGGGTCGAGGCAAAGGCAAAGTTTCCAGAGGTAGGAAGGGTTCCTGACTCTTCCTTGCCCTTGCAAACTCCTTGTCCACTGTCTGTGGCCGCTCCCACGTCCTTGGGCGCGGGAGGCTCCGCCGAGGTGGTTTGGGAAGGGCTAGATTGGCCCCTTCCGGACTTGCCAGTAGGCGGTCGGCTGTCCCATTTCGTTCCTCAGTGGAAAGAAATCACTTCAGACAGTTGGGCCCTAGGGGTTGTGTCCAAGGGTCTCTGCATCCCGCTTCTTCGGGATCCACCTCTGGCGCGAGAGCCTATCTTTTTCCCTTCTCCTTCCGATCCGGGAAAGGTGGAGGCTCTCAGGTCAGAGGTTCAAGCCATGATCGCGAAGGGCGCGATCGAAGAACTTTCACGGGACCAGTGGTCTCCAGGGTTTTACTCCCGGGTCTTCCTCGTGAAGAAGAAGTCCGGTGCCTGGAGGCCTATTATCGACCTCAGTACGTTCAACACGTATGTCGATTCCCCGCACTTCCAGATGGAAACGCCACGGCGCATCATTGCGTCAGTGCGTCCAGGGATGTGGGCTACGTCCATCGATCTGAAGGATGCTTACTTTCACATCCCGGTCAGGAGGTCGGCCAGGAAGTTCCTCAGGTTCACTTTCGAGCAGAAGGTTTACCAGTTTCGCGCTATGCCCTTCGGCCTCACTACGGCCCCCTTGGTTTTCACCAAGTTGTTGCAGGTAGTAGTGGGGCACCTCCACAGTCTCGGGGTAGATGCACACATCTACTTCGACGACTCCCTGTTGCTCCAAGTGGATCCAGTTATCCTGTCCCGGAGCACGAGGTCGGTTCTGGGCGTTCTGTGCCGCCTAGGGTTCATCCCTTCCAGGGAGAAGTCGGAGGTTCTCCCCTCTCAAGATTTTGTTTTCCTCGGTTATCGGTTCAGAACCGATCTGGGGTTTGTCCTTCCACCAGTGTCCAAGTTCGAGAAGGCCTCTCTGTTGGTCTCCGTTCTGGTCGGTGTGGAGCGAATTCAGGTCCGATGGTTCCTTCGGTTCCTCGGTTACCTGAATTCATTGGCGGATGTGGTTCCCTTGGGTCGGCTTCACATCCGTCCGCTCCAGCTGTTCCTTCTGTCAGTTTGGTCTCCGGCGTCTCGACAGTGGGATGTGTACATTCCTCTGCCGGAGTCGGTGAAGGAATCAGCTCGTTGGTGGACTCTCAAGAGCAATGTCTTGGCAGGAGTTCCTCTGGTTCGGGCATCTCCTGCTATGACCCTTTACACCGACGCGTCCATGACCGGTTGGGGTGCATACCTTTCCGGTCAGACGTCGGCGGGGGTGTGGTCAGGGGAACAGCTTTCAGAACACATCAATGTTCTGGAAATGCGTGCTGTTCTGTTGGCCCTTCGGGGTCTTCGACCCTCCCTGCAGGGCAAGGCCATTTGTCTGGCTACAGACAACTCCACTGTGGTGGCTTATCTGCAGCGCCAGGGGGGCACCCGTTCCCCGGCTCTGTGTGCTTTATCCACCCAGGTCCTGTTGCTGTGTCAGGAGATCAGTCTCGATCTCACGGTGAGGCACCTTCCAGGTCGTCTGAATGTTCTGGCCGACACTCTGTCTCGGTCTCGGAGCCCGGTTCTCACCGAATGGACCCTCAAGCGTTCGGTGTTCCGGTCTCTTTGCCTGGTTTGGGACAGACCCCATGTGGATCTGTTCGCCACGGCCCTGAACTTTCGACTCCCTACATTTGTGTCTCCGGTTCCAGACCCTATGGCCATGGCGGTGGATGCTCTATCCCAGGACTGGTCGGGAATGTACGCGTATGCGTTTCCTCCCTTCAATCTGGTGGGCAGGGTGTTGGAAAAGATCCTTCTACACCCTTGTACTGTGTTGCTGGTTGCACCGCTCTGGCCTCGACAACCTTGGTTTCCTCTGTTGCTTCGGCTGTCGGTGGACTTCCCACGCAGCATCCCACCCCTGTGGGATCTGCTGTCTCAACCGAGGTCCCGACAGTTCTACTCGGGACCGGAACGGCTCCACCTTCACGGTTGGATGCTATCTCGGGAAGGCTCACTCAGACGGGCTTTTCTCGAGAAGTTGCAACTCGCATCGCAGGATCACTTAGACCTTCGTCTTCCGCCGTCTACCAATCTCGATGGTCCGCATTCGGTGATTGGTGTGTCGGACGGTCGATTGATCCAGTCTCTGCCTCTGTTCCCGTTGTAGCTGACTTTCTTTTGTCTCTGTTCAGGGACAAAGGTCTGTCTCCGGGAACTATTGCAGGCTATCGTTCAGCCATTGCTAGTGTGCTGGCTTTCTATGGTAGCAAGTCAGTGGGCTCGGACGCTTCATTGTCGGCTCTCATTAGGGGCTTCTACATTGAGAAGCCTCGTTCACGGCAATTGGTCCCTAGGTGGAATTTAGCACTTGTGCTAGATTCCTTGTTAAGGGCGCCATTCGAGCCCCTCCAGTCGACAGATCGGAAGTTTCTTACTTTCAAGACTGTGTTCTTGATAGCCTTTGCTTCCGGTCGCCGCAGAAGCGAGATTCATGCTTTCAGCAGATCTTCTTCTTGCCTTCGTTTTTCGGCTGGCCATTCTTCGGTCTCGGTGACCACTGATCCCTCCTTTTTAGCTAAGAACCAGGTTCCCGGTTTCACCCCAGGGCTTGTGGTTATCCCTTCTTTGGCTTCAACTCTGGATGGGGATTGTCCTGATCGCCTGCTCTGCCCAGTTCGGGCCTTGCGTTACTACTTGGCCAGAACAGAGGGGGGGGCGGGACACTCGTCTCGGCTGTTCCAGTCTCTCCAGCCCGGTCGCTCTGATATCTCTGCAGCGACCATCTCACGCTGGATTGTTCAGACTGTTCGAGCTGCGTATGAGTCGGCAGGGGATCAGTCCTTGCGGGTGTCAGGGGTTAGGGCTCATGAGGTTCGCGCTTTAGCTACTTCGTGGGCCTTATTTAATGGTTCTTCTTACGCTGAGGTCATGACAGCTGCTGTTTGGAGGGGTCATTCTACGTTTACGGAGTTCTATCTCCGATCTTTGTCGGGACAGTCTGACGGATTGTATTCTTTGGGCCCTCTTGTGGCTGCCCAGTCCGTTGTCTGTCCTCCCTCTTCTTTTGCATAAGCCTCATTATGTCTTCTCCGCGTGATCCGGAACGCTGGTCGTAATCAGGCTTTGTGTCACAAAAGGAAAGGGTATTTTGAATTTTTCCTCCGGGGGTATGGGTCCTATTGTTGGAACCCTTCATCGCTCCACGGAGACACCACTGCGGTAAGTCGAATTCGCATTATAATGACTGTGGTAACGTATTTTGAAATAGAATTGAGGTTTCTCTTGTGAAACCAATTTCTATTATAAATACTTACCACAGTCATTAGGTGAGTTCCCTCCCAGCCTCCCCTTGTCTCCTTGGCTCTCACTTTTTTGGGCTTTGGAATTATGAAGTGGGAAGCATGGCTTCGTGTCTTAAATCACGTGCGTGAATACTGCCGTCTGATTGGTGGGTTTCCCAGGGGTTCCCCATGGGGGGAAAAATTCTTTATTTACGTATGTAAAGAGCCAAGTAAGGTTGGAATATGCATTATAATGACTGTGGTAAGTATTTATAATAGAAATTGTTTTCACAAGAGAAACCTCAATTTCATGTTTTTTAACAACGCGACGCCCTCTTGCTTCTTTTGCAGGTCGTGATAACTGACTGTCTCATCTGCGTCGTTATCATTTAGAATTAAGTATAATGAGCATTTTACAACACCTTTGAAAGCCTGCGTTAAATGTTTTGTAATGAAATATATTATACTGCTTTTCAATGAATATATTTTAAACGACACAATAACCAACACACATTCAAAAATAACTAAACTACATGAACAGTTTTCCAGACATTGTTTTTAGAAGGCTTGTTCTTTCTTGATTTAATCGTTAACGTAAACAAATTGTAACTGTTAATGATAGCATTTGGTGCTCTCCCTTGGTTAGGACCAGGTAACATAATATTGCGTTCAACCTATGCTTTATTGCATATTCGTAGTTACTGCAATATAACAAATGAAATATATATTTCTTATCCTAAAAATTGCATCAATACACACATGTCATCATATAACCCTGAAAAAGATGTTTTAAGACACTTGTTTCATAAATTAGAATTTACTTACTTTCCAAACTTGGTAAGAAAGCCTGGTGGCATCATTACAGTATAACATCCACCTGACCATTGTTCGGCGAGCCAGTTATGTTCCTCATAGTGGATAGGCTGGAGTTAAGGAATCAATGAAGTCTAGTCAGTATTAGGGTTTCGGCAACCTCTCGATATATCGCAATATTTTACTTTGTGATAATCACATTTGATGCCTTTTGACATAGTGTATATTTGATATTAAGGAGAAAATAGTGTTACCTATTTCTGTTTCATTTGTACTAGATGACAAGGTTTCCGTTACAGTTTTGTCGGTTTAACAAGAATGCGTCGAGTCATATCGTGAAACAAGCATATTATGCAATTTGTTCAATTTTAATAGTACGGAAACTAACACCCGTCACTACAAAACAGGAAATATATCTTGATGTAAAGTAACTAATAAGGTGATTGCATATTGTACCATTATTATATCAGAATTGCATTCTCCAAGGCTACGAATCTGGCAGTACAGACGAAGTTTAACTTTTGTATGATATCATTCATCCAATGTATTTACAAAATATATCATTTCCTGAGCAATATCAGAGTATGTTTCTGTTTCTTTTCATGAAAGGATCTTACGCTTTCATACTTACGTGCAGTGCTTTTTCTGTTTTGAATACTTTTGAGTACATTTCAGAAATTCTCTGCTTTCTGTCTTCTGCCGTCAGGTTACATAACTTTTTGGCTTTATCAGCGAGAACAAACCTAGTAAAATATTAACACTTTCCCCTATACATTTAAATTCTTAGTGATACTCTAAATAATAAACATACAACAAAGGAAAAGAAGCTGCAATACAAGTAACTAATGCATAGATAGGCTCGATTTAAAGTCGGCTTTACCGACAAGGCAACCGAGCATGTGGCAAAATTTGCTTATATTCACTACCTTCTGTTTCAATTAAATGTTAGAAGGAGAACGAAAACATTATAATTAGGTATTGAACAAAATGTTTAGGATTAACTTAATAATACAAACTAGCTATAGCAACGATTGCAAAACGACTTATATGTACCAGCCCAGATCTAGTAAGTGTTTATCGTTAACGTTTTCTTCCTCTGAACAAATAATTTATCTTATGACCCTTAAATAAATTAAAAAGCAAAACTTCGCATGCATTTCTAAAGGAAAAATACTCTGAGTAATGATTAAAAGACAGACATACGACATGAGAGCGGGCTTGCCGCCTTCCGGTTTGACGTCATCCAGAGTGTAATTGATTATTGAGTCGTCATCGTCAATCATCGCTGATCCACAGTAACCTGTTAGGAATCAAGATCATCTCTCAATATTCGAAACATCATTTTTTTCTCAAAAATGAATTTGACATCATTTTGGGATTTCGATTAGCGTCTATTTTTTCGATAAAGCAATTGCAAATACACCTAATTTGTTTTAAATGCGTGTTTTAAAGGATACATGTTTTTCAGATTTTTTATTAAGAATTGTGTATTGTGTACATATTATATATACATATCATTTTGTACTGTTTTTTTCTGTCAGGCTTCATAAGAAGGTATGATTTACCTTGCTCCCGCCAGAACGGTTTACTATAGTAGGTAAAGGTTTTGATCACAGATCCCATGGGCACTCTCTGTATCATCTGATTACGTAGGGTAGGTAGAGGAGGGTCAAAGGTTATCTTACTTTGTAGTGGTAGAGGTACGGCACTTATCACATAGCTGGCCTGAAATTAAGATGGTGTCATTGTCATTATGGACACTTAAACGTAGTACTCAAGTAAAACAAAGAAACTGTAAAATACGGATTATATTTCAAGGATAACATAGTAGAGAATGTTACTTAAAATTTTCCAAACATAACATATCAACATATGTACCATAAACATGTAGGTACCAACACAAATCATTATACATATGCCTTGCTATGATTCAGGGCTGGGACAGGCCGGACAGGCGATATAATCGCTCATAGAACATGCATCAAGCATATCGTATTGTACACAACACAACATGAAGAAAATGCCGTGTTATCAATTATCAATTATCAATTATTCCTTATTTGAAAAAAAACATAACGTTACGTCTTTCCTGGCTATGATGTTTGAAATATCCATTCCTATCGCAAAATTCTGAAAAGTGCATATCATCAATGTTGTTTCCCGTGATTAACCAAGATGATCTATATCTTATATAGATTATATAGACAAACTCTGTTGCTCAATCCTTTTGTTTAATCAATAAAATATATTTGAAATGAAATGATCTAATCTGACAGTGTCCACCTTATCACAGCTGACGCTGTGACTGCTAAGAACAGTCTTCTGACTGTAGATTGTATCGTGCATATGACTTACTTCGTTATTCAGCTCGTGTAACACAGACATTGTCTGTTTTCTAGCCTTGATGATATCTGTCTAAGAATTAAGATTCATTAGTAAAAAGAAATCACTAGTATAAACCTGATAACATGATCACTGCTGTATTAATGTGCTTTACCTGATATTTGTTGCCGTGGATGTCAATGACCTTCACAGTACTCTGCTCCTGCTTGATCTGACAGATTGGTTTCGACAGTAACACCCTATCTGAAATAATGACAGGAAAACAAAAGTTACATATGAGAAATTTGTTTCAACGATGTTCCTTATATAATGTTACATTGAACTTGATGTAATGTGCTTTGCAATGTATGGAAAACATTAAAATCCATTATATGATATTGTGATTGTAAATCATACATGAAAAAGTACAGACCTATACAATTTGCAAAGACATATTACCATTCAAACACAGGGTATATTTTTAACAACACTGATATCGAAACATATCACTTACAGATAGTAATATGATATTTGTCCAATGAATACTGCTTGAAACCATAGTATCTTAGAAACCTAACAGATTTAAAGTGGTTATATTCAGTTACATTCCTGTTACTATTTATCGACATATAGTACATGAATATACCACATATCAAAATAAGGAAACAACTATCGCAAAGGACAGTATGCAACACCATTTTTGTATAATAAGTTATACAAACCCTTTCCGAGCTTCCTCGCTATATGTTGGCTGATTTGTTGTGAACCGCCGACAAATTTCCGCTCCTATTCACGAAGAACATGGAGGGAAGAGAACCAAGAGATGTGACGTTTTAGCACATACTCAATAGCATGGAATTAACGTGCTTTATGACCTAGGCCACTGTATAAAAATGCATAAAACTTTGAGCATGATAGGTCATTCTGCATTGACGCCGGTACTTTGGATCTTTACAAGAGTTTGTAAATATTGTCTGTAATCTTGACAGCACCGTTATCAAACGTTTAAAGATCGTGCTCGTGAAAGTAGATCTGAACTTCACATACATTTGGATGTGTAACTGAAAAATTGAATCAAACAACAGAAACCATAAAAGAATTAGTTCGATTCGATGTATTATTACATGGCTACATGACATTACCTGTCCCCCATTAGACGTTGAAAATATGCGATGTGTTCCTCCACACTGTCTGACGTACCACAGAAACCATAGCAACGAACACTCGTACGGCTCTGACGTCACATTCAGGTTCACGAACCCTGTTGCGAACCTCTTCACAGCACTGCAAGAATGGAGACATTCACTAACTATATCATACATACAACTATACATAGTAATGTAAGTATACAGTCTTTTGCTTTATTATATTTGATGTTTTTTGCATAATTGTAATGAGCTGAGAGACTCGGACATTTCAAAATCATGTACATGGATATTTTCACTCCATTGTACATATATATTTATACATAGCTGAATAGATTTCTTAAAATGTCACAAAAATACCATAATGCTGGAGTTAAGTGTGTTCGCTGTTTACAGTACCTCAAAAAAATAGATGTACGTTATATGTAATAACCCTTTCAATAGAGATCTATCAAGTACATGCAATACGTATCTTTTTACGGATATTTGACCTTATAAAGATCGAACGGTTACAAGTTTAAACACATTTACGATTTGAATTGTTTAGATGTTAATGTGCTTTAAAGTATCTTCTAATAATCTAATCTTGATATCAGAATCAGAACAGAATGCTATACATGCATTCCTTTTAAGGATCTAGAATTTCAGTTCTCCAATTTAATACACTAAGAAAACCACTACCATATACTCAAAACATATATATTTTGTCGGCAATAAGTAGCCAAAAATCCTTGCCCCTGTTACGTTGCCTATATTAACCATCGGTCCTACCGTCTGTCAATTTATCATAAATTGATATCAATATTTACCTTTGTGAAAAAGAAGTGATATAACAATGAAGATGACCTAGTAAGGCACGTGGAGAAATATAAGGAGATAGGAACTTACGCTGTCCAGGCGTATTTATTGAGGAATTCTTGGACTGTCATATTATCCCATTCCTCCGCGTGTGGTGCATCCCATGGCGCAGCCTCCGGTATCTGTAATACAATGTACATTCAGCAAACAATAACGCAATTGTGCCACCATACTAGAAAATTCAATACACACACATAGAATATTGAATATATATTTTATCCTGATAACATTCTAAGAAACCTATGTTTTATTCAGAGTGAAATTCCAATCCTTTCAATTCTATTTAACTGAACAATTATTAGAAACTAGCTTAACGAATGTTCCAGTTTAGAACAAATAAGAAAATAATTTCTAACAGTAACTTTATTTTGACATGGTTTTCTAATGACTTTTGGAATTACCTCACTGCCCATCTCATCTACGACTCTAAAGACTTGGAGGAGATCCAGATGTGCCAAAAATCCTCCCATGGGCGGGAACGACCCTTTAAATCGCCTGCTGCTTCCCTTTAGTGTAGAGTAAACCACACGAAACATTAACAACATTACCAAATCTACATTTCACAAAAAGACTCATATAAACTATATAATGCTATCAAACCAGATTTTATAATCCTAAAATATCCAATGGGAAACTATTGCTGTAACATTGCTGATAACTTTACAATTGATTTGTCAGTGGTGACAGCCATGAGTCAGAAGCAGAAAGGTCGAGTTTTGACATTTGTTTTCTCTATACAATATGTCATAGGTTTAACCACAGTCCGTCTCCCTTATTAGAGACTAGACGGTGTCATAGATGATTTGCGGAGACAGTTTAGAATAGCAAAATGTGAACGTGTCACCAAACCACTGGCTAAATAGTTGGAGTTACACATATGTGATTACACCTATATAACTTGTATGTTATAGAATATGGTAAGACAGCCACGCTAGTTGTACTGTACGTCGATGAACGAAATCTACAAAACCAATCTCAGTTTAGAAATTGGTGGTATATGGGTTAGTGGCGCTAAAGGCTGTATACATGATTTATATACACATCGTTCTATACTAGGTAAACACACGGTCCATTGCTGTTACCTTTTGCCCTGGTTATCCAATAATCTGTACGATAAACTGTGCTATTTTTGTACATACATGAACCTTTTGCACGCCTTTCGTAGCTAGGGAACTGACCTTCCTGTAAATAACAAGATCCTCCACCTCATTGGTCAGGTACGTTTTGACACCAAATTCATCCGCCATACGTAACAACAGGTTCTGCGTAGGGCCAACATAGGCCCCTCCGACATCTACGTAGTTGATGACGTCATTCTACAATGTGAGAGTAAAATGTTTATTTTTTATTTTTTGCATAATTGTTATTCTAATTTTACTGGAAGTCGTACATAATTTAAGACAAATCTTTACAGATGTTGACTTTTATATTATTGATTTATATCAAAATTGAAACTTGAATCAATTTCGGTTCGTAAAATGTTTGATTAATATTATGACCCCATATTAACATCCAATAAGGGGCGGAATGGGTAAACATGTTACCGTCCCCCTGACTGCCTGCAGAATTAGATGCAAGTGGGCGATATGTCTCTACTACAACTGACTTAACTTGATTAAATGTCAGCTGTCTAGAGTCGAGACACCGGTCATTTACACTCATTGTTTTTTTACAAAGGAAATGGAAGTTTTTGAAAGCTCGCAAAATAAGGTTTCAATTTTTGTTTGTGTTCAAAACAAATTTAGTCTTTATCATTCATACCAAACTGGTGAATCTTATTTCGAATATTAATATTATTTAGTTTAAAAACAATTAAGTAAATATGTCAAAATAAAAACACAATTGCCTTCTTCCTACATACACGATTGTGTTATATCATGACAGTAATGAGGAACATATTCAAAAATTTTGTATTTATATTATTGTACGCTGTGATTTTCCAAATAAAATTACTTTTAAATCAATTTCACTATTAAGTAAAAAGGAAATTGACAATCTCAAAAGTGTTGAAAGACATTCTCAATGTCTTCAATTAAAAACTACATTACCAACAGAGTTTGTGTTTTATTAGCTATAATACAGGGGGCTACATTGGTGTCTGTGCTCATCGAGCACAGCCGGTGTTGAAAAACAGGTTTCAGCTTGGAACGTTTATCACGATCCGACAGTAGAAACCAATCTAAACCAAGACAGATCTCTTCAACTGGATAAAATACGTGACAGGCCCAGAGTTTTACTTAGAGAGATATTCCGTCGTTATTGATTTAGATGCAGAAACAATCGAGGTCTTGTACCGACATGTATTCCCCTAATACGGACGGAGCGCAGTGTCAACTTCCGCTCCATGAAATTGATGGAAGGCTTTGCCGCATTTTTCCTTGACAGGTACGTAAGTCGCAAACTACAAATTAATGTTCGTCAATGAGCACGCGTTGTGTATTCCGCATAAGGACAACATGTCGAACACAAACCGTCCGTATGATATTAGATTTAACGACGTACCGAAGTCGTCTAACATTGACAAGTATAACAGTTCTATTATCATGTCAAGTAACATACACGAAAACATTTATGGATTTCAGCATAAAATTGATTTTAAAATCTTCATGGTTAAACATCATATTAAGTGATCAATATATTACGTGCTTTTGAGCGTTGCGTTAGGCCACGTTTAAGTTTTATTACGAATAACATCGTGCGTAAAGGCTTCATTGGAATCATTATGAGAGAAATATCTTGATTATATCACATCGGCGTTAGAGGTATATATTTTACCAGATATCTATGATGAATGAATTTCACATTCGTCAAAATGACCCTATTTACGACAATGGGATTGCAGTGTCCGAAGGCATTTTGTTGGTTTTGCAACAAGCATCACAACGAGTGCCACAATCGGTACCGCTCCCGGATTTCCTGTTGAGCGTGTCTTAGGGATTTTATTTTTTATTTAGCTTTTGTTTCGTTTTCACACCATTTCTTTCTTTATTTTAATAACCAGTTCGAGTCGGTTTAGACACAACAGTTTATTAATTTTACCTCTGTTAAAGGTTCGGATAGTTTGGGATGCTTTGCCACTACTTACATGTTTAGTATATGTCCGTCCCCCAACACGGTCTCTCGCCTCCAGCACAACCACGTCCAATCCCTGTTCGTGTAGCAGCTTAGCAGCCGCTAGACCTTAACAAAAATACAATTAATATAGCGATGACAAACATACAATTAATATAACGATAACAAACATACAATTAATATAACGATAAAACACATACAATTAATATAACGATAACACACATACAATTAATATAACGATAACAAACATACAATCAATATAACGATAACAAACATACGATGAATATAACGATAATAAACATACAATCAATATAACGATAACAAACATACAATCAATATAACGATAATAAACATACAATCAATATAACGATAACAAACATACAATTAATATAACGATAACAAACATAGAATCAATTTAACGATAACAAACATACAATCAATATAACGATAACAAACATACAATTAATATAACGATAACAAACATAGAATCAATTTAACGATAACAAACATACAATCAATATAACGATAACAAACATACAATCAATATAACGATGACAAACATACAATTAATACAACGATAACACACATACAATCAATATAACAATAACAAACATACAATCAATATAACGATAACAAACATACAATCAATATAACGATAACAAACATACAAT